AGGTGTTGTTGCAGCTTAAAAGTCTCTGTTGTTGTATTTGCATTTGCGTTTGCGTTTGCATGCGCCGCACGTGCAACACGCTGTGCACATTTTTCAATTTCAATTTCAGTTTCAAGTTTTTCTCTTTATGGTTCTGTTGTCTGCCTGTTGTTGCCTTTGCTGCTTTAAAAAGTGAGCTTTTTGGTTTTTCGTTTTGCTGTAATTTAAGCGGCGCACGAGAATTGTTGCGTCAAAAACGTTGACAACATGCAACGAATTGGCGGCGTTTTTTTTCGCTCGCGTGCAAACAATGCCCACATGTCACATGCAACAATTTTCCATGTTGCGCGCTCGCTATTTAACTAGTATTTACTTTGAATTGCCGATCCGTTTTTTTGTTTTTTTTTTTTGGTTGAACAATTTTACATTTTTATTAAAAATATGTATGTATATCACAGCATCGCGTAATTGCGCTTTGTGCGCATAAATGCAAATCAAATTTAACTTCTCTTTGTGGCGCAAAACATTTATGAGACCAAGTCAGACGATGTGGCGGGCACGTGTGCAAGCGCGAGCGAGGTAGCCCCTACTCCGCGGGAGACACTGGCGAACTGCAACATCGGTTGCCACAATAGCAATCGGCAGCATTCAATTTCGTTTTAAATATGCGCGAATTAGGCTAAAAGCACCGTTCCAAATGCATCTGGCAGCCAACAAAGTGTTTGTCTGCATTTGTATGTGTATGTGTATGCGTATGCGTATATATGTATGAATCCCTGCATGCCTGCATATCAAAGTTAGCGAAATGGCCAAAATGTTTCAAAATTTGGTGCAAAATCATATCGCGCTGGGATGTTTGTGGTGGCACTTTCCCCCGCACAAATGCGCTTAATTGCTACAAAAGCGCGTAGCGTGTGTGTGTGTGGGCGGTTTTGTTTGTGGTTCTGCGGTTACAATCACATTATTAGGTAATCATGCTTGCAATGCAAATATTCTCACTTGCTGCCAACGCACACACTGCGCTCAGCTGGAGGCATTGTGGAAGAATACAAGTGAGATATCTTAGGGTTGACAGCTAGTTGACAGGGTGTTCAATATGGCGATGACAGTGTGAACAATATGGCAGCAAGCAAAACCGAACGGCCCGAAGCTGCAAAACTACGACCCGAATGAAATAATTCGGGAAAAAATAACGGGAAAAACCAGGGTTCCGAGGTGCTGTTTCGTGACCAGAGTTTTGTGCAGCTCCGAAAAAATATGAAACAGGGTTCTGTGTTTATTGGAATTACAGAAAAGTGTTGCTTTGCAGCATAATTTTTTAATTATAATTTTATTCCAAATAAAGAAAAATTTAATTTTATCGAGTTTCGAAGGAACAAGAAATATCAATAAAAATACTTTTAAACTATGGTTTTTAATAAATTGAGTAAATTTTTTTATTTATTTTGAGACAAAATGTAAGTATACTTATTATTTCAGCATGCTACTGTGGCTGCTTCCGTCACTCGCGCGCACTGCCGTGCGCTGTGATAAATATTATCTGAGAGTTATGATGGTATTCAATAATCCAGTGTCATCTCAAGTCACTAAATTTGAGACAATTCGGGTTTTCAGAGGGAAAAACAGAAGGAAATTGATTATTGTATTTCATTCCTACACGTACTTGAACAAAATGCCAGATCAGTGCTCATAATTGTGAACAAATATTATTTTCATGTTGTTTATTTCCTTTGTTCTGTTATTGAATAAACAATAGGGGTCTTCATCAAAAGTGATAAACTCTTGATAAACTTGATAAAGTGATAAATTTATCATTTTGATAACTGAACTGTAAAACTTTGTATGGAAATCTATTTAACCAAAGTTTATCACTTTATCAAACGACTTTGGTGGATAAATGTATAAATTTAAGTAAAATTCAACCCCTATAGGTTGCCAGGTAGTCGCTTTTGCTACGAGCACATAAAAGCAAATGAACACAATGGACGAGGTAAGAATGAAACGTAACTAGCCATATAAGTTAAATAATCAACAGTTTTATGCGAATATTTACCATGGTGTACCTATTACCAAGGTACCTCTAATAATTAGGTGCTTTAAGAATTAAATAAAAATAAATCATCTCTTCTCCCCTTTTTGACAATGTACGCGCTAATAATATTATTTTACAAACAAGTTTTAGACAAAATGTGTAATATTTGTTGCTAAAAATACAAAAGCTATATGAAAAAATGACTTCTCAATGAAAACTGTCCAAAAAAAATTTAGAGTTTTGTATTTAAAATGAATCGGAATTTGGGGGCCATAAAAATGCGTTTTACTCCAAACTTTGTTTTTCGGATATATTTGTCATTCTTTATTGGCTCAGATATAAATATTGAATGAACTAACATATCTTAAATTTTTACAAAACTACCTTTAGTATGCAACCCTGCCAATATGCAAGGAGATGTAATTTGAAAAATTTAAACGGATTTCTTCAATCAACCTGAGCTGCGGACATCTTGCGAATTTATTTTTAATCATTTAATAGAGCATTTACTAATTTTGATATCTTTTCAGATTTTTCAACAAAATCAGCATCAACGAGGTAAGCATTTAATAAATATCCCAAGTTTCATTGCATATTCTAATTGCTTGTTTGCTATTTTTTATAACAGGAAGATGGTCAACCAGGCTTGTATCGTTGGATGCGGATTAGGGGTACCTCTGTATCCCTTCCCACCAGAGGGAGAGATCGGCCGGTGAGTGTACAATATTAGCTTTGAAATAAGTGTATGTGTGTTTTTTTTTTTTGTTAATACAATTTTGTTGTGCAATTATGCCTGGGGGAACTTCGAAATAGTGCACCCGGAATCAGAAATGGCTGACTTCGAAAGCGTATCAATACAATGCTTGGAAACTGTTTTACTGTGCTATTCAAAATGCAGAGTTGCGACACATCGCAACCTTATGTATTGCATATTTTAAATATTCAATTTAGCAATGGACAATTTTTCTGAATTTTCCATTTTTACGTATGTACGTATTTGTACGTATGCAAAGCAATAGACGTTTTGGAAGTCAGCCAATCTGTTAGTTACTCTTTTACTTAAGTTATAATATTAGTGTTGAGAGCCGTCCTTCTAAATTGCATTAAGATTTTGTATTCAAAAATGCAAATGCAAGTGGTATACTATATCGAAGTCGACCCTGGAGGAATCTTCAATGGTGCATCCTTAACTAGGTAGGAAATTGAAGTCGTGGGGCAATAAGTGTTAAAAATTTTTTATAATCAAACGGACTTGTCCAACAGAGTCACAGCTTTGTTCACATAGCGGTTGTTGGAAACAGCCAAAAGAAATCGAGGCGGATATATATAGGCTTAAATGCTAATAGCACTTTCTTCAAAACTGTTTGCTCGTAAATTTGAAGAAGGTGTAAAATTTTGTAATTCTGTGATGCACTAATTTGCATCATTCTGCTTTTTTTTTACAGAAATGTCGTTTTGGCCTAACGGACCGGAATGGGTATCGTTAAACTTTTTTCAATACATATCCAAATTTTATTTTAATAATCCCGCTTTTCTTGTTGATTTCCTTTCTTATTTCTACATCGCATTAACTTTTAACCAATATATGTATATACTTATACATATCTGTGTTCATATGGAAAAGTAGCTTATGTCGAAAGGCTGGCTTCAGTATGAATCGGCATCCGCAGCATATGATTGCGAATGACTCACTGGCGCTGAGCCGTTGAACAAAGTTTGGCAAATAAACGTGCAAGAAACAGTTCCGATACTAGCAAGTCAATATTCTTATTAAGTCTCATCAAAAAATTCCTTCTCGTTTAAAGAGTAAAGGCAATGCCGCATTATACTAAAGCCAGCCTTTCTAAATAAGCTACTTTTCCATACGAACACAGATATATATATGTATCAATTAACCAATCAATTTATATACAAATTTTATTTTGAATCATCCCGCTTTTTTTTGTTGACTTCCTTTTTTGTTTTTACATCCCACTAACTTTTTAAACTACGGTTTTTGCTTTCCCATGTTACATTCTCATTTGCTTTTAGAGAAAAATTAAAATTTCAACTAATATGCATTTACTTGGAGAAACCCTAATTTTATACTAACTTAATCTCTGATTAATAATGAGTTACATAGTACCTTGCACTTTTTTGCTCACTTATATATGTATGTACATATGAACCCACATAAGTATGTGTATCGCACACGATTTTCAAAGGTGACACAACTCAATATAACAGTTTCGTCATAAAATGTGAAAAACTATTTCGTAGTACATGCTAATCATATGGGCAAGGAAAACTTTACCTTAGGTTTTTTTCATCAAATTATAACAAAAATTTGTTCCATCTTTTGCTGAAAGGTAAATAAATGCTCGGTGTAAATTTTTTTACACATAATATCAAAAATGCCAAATTTTGAGTTGTGTCACTTTGAAGATGGTGTGCGATATGAAGAAGACCATATGTGCATACATTAAATGTAATGCATGATTTTTTATTTTTACTAGGCGGCGTGAATGGTTACGGCTGTTGGGTGTGACTGGCTCGACAGCAAAATTTATTTTCGCATGCCAAAGGCATTTTTCCCACAAGGTGAGAGGGGGAAGGATCCTCTATAGATGGGCAGTTCCGGACATTAATTTAAGAGTATGTTCGCCCCCAGTGACAGTTGATAGGGAAAATTACTTAGGTAGTATTATAGAAGCAGATATTTTAGTTGACCGAAACACACAAGAGTCTGTAATAGAGTTAGGCGTCGAAGATTTTCAACCGGTACTTGCTTCGCCCAAAGAGGCAGAAAGGGCTTCAACCTCAAATATTGTTGAAGATTCCTTAGAAGAGTCCCTTCCACCCGCTTCACATGATGAAGTAAATTCTTCTTTAGGTCACTCTCTTCTTAAAACTTGGGCTAATAGTAGGCAAACACAAACGGATAAATACCTTACTGATGGGACTCCTAGAAAAAGAAAATACCGGAAAGAGTTGGATAGGAAAAATGAGGAGTTAGGATTGCTACGAGAAAAGGTAGCAATCTTAGAAAAAAAGGTTTATAGTTTGGAGGCTTACCCGGATTTGGCTGTTAATAGTCAGAACAGCCAAATCGAAGAGCTATGTGGTAAATTGCCTCCACATCTTGCAATATGCGTGAGGAATTGCCTTAGGAATACCCCCCGAACTCCTAAAGGGTATAGGTTTGATAGGGAGTTGAAAACATTAGCCCTTGCCGTAAAATTCCTGTCACCTATTGCTTTTAGGTACTTAAAGCCCCTTTTCAACTGGCCCTCTCGAAAAACCCTGGAACTATTTGTTCAAGGTTGGCCACGCAACCCTGGATGCAATTACAGCAGCATTAAGGCCCTGGAGCTGAGAAGCCGTGGTTTCACAGATGCGCAGAAATATGTCTCCATCTGTTGCGACGAAATGTCTTTAAAAGTCCATGTACAATATGAGAGGAATAGGGACTCAATTATAGGACTGGAGGACTATGGAGACGAAAATCGTACCTCCAGAGTGGCTTCCAGTGTCTTAACAATTTTCGTCCAAGGCATTGGTGGGGAGTCTTGGACGCATCCCTTAGCGTATTTTTTTGTGCACAAATCGTGCAAAGGAGATGTTTTGAAAAAATATATTTTCGAAGCCATAGGTCAGCTCCAGGGTATTGGACTATATCCCTGCCAAATGGTAACCGATCAAGGGTCGAATTTCGTTAGTTTTTCGAAAATTGTAGGAGTTTCCAGAGAACGACCCTTCTTCGAAGTTAATGGCCAGGAAATCGTATATTTTTTCGACTCTCCGCATCTCCTCAAAAGTACTAGAAACTGTTTAGAAAACAAGAAAAATAAAGTAACTTTTCAAGGCCGCCCTGTAGATTGGATGGATATTGTGCATCTCTATGAACAAGGGTCTCAATATGATATTTCCTGTACCCATAAACTTACCTCGGCACATATTAGACCTAAAACCTTTGATAAAATGAGCGTGCATTTAGCATCGCAGGTCTTTAGTAACTCTGTGGCAAGCGCAATGTTTGCTATCTATAGCTCGGGGCTTTTAAATAGTTCAAGATCCCCTTCCTTTTTTAACACTGCCGAATTTGTCCTTTTCTTTGACAAATTATTTAATATTTTTAATAGTATATACTTTGGGGATGTAGGAAATTTCAAACAACCCTTTCAAGCTACTGTAGACCAACTTACTTTTCTTGACGAAGCCGAACAGTTTTTGAATTCCATTAAAGTTTACGACGACTTAGGTCGCGATATTACCAATACGTATAGTTTTATTAAAGGTTGGGTCCTAAATATTAGTAGTTTACGTCGTTTGTGGCGATTCTTGTCACATAACGAATTCACTTTTTTATTGACACGTAAATTATGCCAAGACAAAATAGAAAATTTTTTTGGTCATATTCGTAGAGGGGGGTCCTTTGATGTGAGAATAACGCCGCAGCGTTTCTCATATCTCTTTAGGCAAGCCTGGGGTATAGGGTATATTAGATGCGTAGATAAAGGGAACTGTGAACTCTTGCCTGAAGATAAGTGGGAATCATTTTCTAATAGCACCCTTATTACAGCTTGTGACGATGTTTTAGTCAGAGATACTTCCTGGCAAATATTTCAAGGCCTACCCCGGCCTAGTTTAAGCTCATTTCAAGATGTCCAAATCGATATTTCGGTTGATATTGATGAAAGTAGTTTTCTTCATCGAAGCGCTTTTGTTTACTTTTGCGGCTACATGTATTTTAAATATTTCAAGCATCATAATTGCTTAATGCCATTACCAAGATTTGAAGATGGAATTACTGAAAAAGATTTCTTCTTCACTATGGAGAAGCAATTTAGTAATAGCCATCTTGTTAGTCCTCCCAATGAATTTGTTGAGTTTATGTCCAAAATCGAAAAAATCTACACAGATAATTTCGATTCAAATTGTCATAGAATTGGGTTTTCCCAAATCTTATTTGAGAAAATGATAGACGTAGAGCCATACTATTGTTGCGAAAATTGCAACCCCGATGTTTTAAAATGTATTTTCATAAGAATAAGAACTTATTTTCTGGTTAACAGTTTCAATAAGAAAGCGAACCAACCAAATTTTAAAAACATTAAGTTTTTGTGTGTAACACACCAATAGAGTTCGCTTTCAGTCTAAGTGTCTGTCTGCAAAGTCCGAATCCGTCTGAAAAATAGGGTTTTATCGATTTGGGTGTCTTGAAATGAGCTGCCCATGTAGTTAGCTTCCGTGCCCATTTCCTTGTTCTTTAATTTGTACACTTCTATGGGCGTAAGACCTTTCTTTTTTCTCATTTACATTTCAAATTAGTCTGGGTGTCTGTCTGGGTTCAGTCTGGGTGTCTGTCTGCAAAGTTCGAATCCTTGTTCCCATTTCCTTGCTCATTGATTTGCACATTTCTTATCTTTTCTACAGGCGTAAGACCTTTCTTTTTATATTCATATTTTTATATTCATATTTATATTTTCATATGCTTGTTTTCTTTGCAGCTTTCTAGTATTTTTTTTTAGTGCAGGCCCTATATCCCCACCACATCTATTTTTATTATTATTTACTTTGTTTGTTAGCCTGTCACTGGGGGCGGTTTTGTAAATACTATGTAAATACTTTGTAAAATATGTACCTGTAAAATTCCGTACCTGAATTGTAATACAAGTATTATTTTGTTTATTTTTGTTACAAGCAGTATTATTTAGTCTTATTTTTGGTTATGTATTTGTATACTTATTTACATATGTACATCATTACCTTAACAAAGAAAATCCTCAACTAATTTTCCAGCTTTCAAAAAGTATTACTTTTGTACACATTAAATCGCTAAACAGATTAGCATTTAATTATATTTTAACTACATATGTATATATTTTTTTTTGTTAAGGTAATGATATTTATTTTATATGGGTGAAAATAGGCCTCCTGGGGAACCGAACACCTTAAAAAAATCGGTAACGCGCCTGTATTGCTACCTCAGCGGTGGTGTGGAAGAGCAATAAGAATTTAAATAAATATATTTTTATCAGAAAATACAAATGACTCGTTTTATTTTAAATAAAGTGTAATAGGTTAATAATAATACAAGTAATAATTTAATACAATGTAAATTGTTAACGTACATAGTTTAAAATACAAACAGAAATACATAAGTATGTACACATCACATTTAATAAATTACAAACAATGCATTTTCTATGAAGAGTCATCAGCAGCCTTCCAAGCAGTTAAGCGCGAACGAAATCTTAAGATAAACAAAAATGAATATTAAAAATATTTGCTTGGTGTTCTCTGGCCATCGCTGTTGTTACTTTTGTTTGGCATGTGTAGAAACGAGGTACTGCTGTTGCTTATGTTACTGACAATGTGGTGTGGTAAAGTTGCTTGGAGATGGTTCTCTTGTAGTATATTGGCTATCAAGCACCAGAAAATTTCCATCACGCATTCCATATGCCACGGATTGTCGTGGATCAATTAAAATACCTTCATCACAGCTTTTTGGTACTCCAGCAACTGGTGTGTCTATGGCGGAGTTATGTGGAGCAGTTGCATGACTAAAATCAATTTCGACTCTTTGAGAACTGGCTTGTTTGTTGCGAGCGCTATTGGCATCAAACGTACGCAAATTAGATTTCCAAACGAGCAACTGTTGAATACAGGAAAAAATTTATATTATATAATTTTTTTACATACAAAGCAGAAATTACCTGTCGATCCTCGCCCGCGGAAGCAAAATGTCTACCATGTGGAGAGAAAGCGACAGCGCAAACTTAGTAGCCAGTTAGTGTATAATTTTCCCGTCCATTTTGACCTGGTTCCGCTAAAGTGCCCTACTACCGTGTATAAATTGGCCGACCTTCTAATAAATCAAGCAATCTTATTGTATCGTCATCGCCGCCAGTCACCAAGAAATTTCCACTTGGGTGAAATGCAACATCATTCTCCGGCGACGAATGCACTGTATTAGCTCGCCTTCAGCTTTGTCAAATATCTTAACGCGGTTACAACTTAATGCTAAAGCCACCAGATTGCCATCTGGATGCCATGCCAGCTGCCGTCCCATACCTCTTCCCCCGGTGAACGTTCGCATACATTCGCCTGAAAATGTATCGCAAATTCTTAACTTGTCGCCGCACGATGAAATGAACTTACCATTAGGGCTGAATTTTGCTCCGCGCACCCATTTTTGTGTATTTTGAATTAGTATTTTGATGGCTGTTCGCCATTTTTCCAGTCTGCAAACGAATAAGCTGACGAAGATGCAAACAAATTCAACCACATTGTTGCATTCTACCGTACTTTTTAAAATTTTTAAAATCTTAAAACATATGTGAAAAACTTTTATAATCTGAATATTTCTAATGTCGAAATCAAAACGAAATTTACTAAATAGCATTTTTAAAAAACAATCATCTAATATTTTTCAAGTTTTTGGGCATATATTTTACAATTTGAACCACAAATACTACTAAGTTGTATAAGACTATTTAATGCAACTCAGGTCAAAAAAGAGCAGTTTAGACCAAAATAAGCAGCTCTAAAAAACAGATGATCGCAGCTGTGGCCCAGGATGACGTCTATTGCTAAGATATCTCACTTGTATTTGTACACAATGGCTGGAGTCGACGTACAGTAGTCGGTCGGTCGGTCGGTCGATCGGTCGTTTGGTTGGTTGGCTAGTTGCCGGCCAGTGGGCCACTTGAGGGGTTTCGCATAATGAAATGGTATTTCGTTTCTGGTTTGCTTGCCGGCTTAAATTTTTATTGTGTGAAGTGCTACTTTACGGTGAAATTTTATGCAGCAAATTGAGCGTTGGATTGGCATTTTGATTGAGCTATAAAATTAATAAAGTTTTTTATTGTTTTAAACTGGAATTTTTCCACATAAATACTAAGTTATGCGAAAAACAATACAAAAGTCGTTTTTAATTTTTATTGAAAAAAATTTCTGTTTTAAGTCCGCTTTGTCAGTCTTTTAATTTCGTCGAGTAATTCCTGGACATTTGATCTTTACGAAGACCACTTTTAGGGCTTTTTTTTTGTTTTTTTTTTTTAAGTTAATTTAATCATATCGGCGCATCTTTTTAATGTGCAATGAACAAAAACTGAGATTTCAAATAGTAATTTTCAATTTTTTTTTTTTGTTTTTTTTTTACAGAAATATGTATTTTCTAGGGCTTCGGAGCGGAGCGGAACAAAGGAGCAAAGGATTTTGGCTGGAACAAAGAGCGAAAAACCCACTTGCTCCTTCGCTCCTTAAAGAAAATTAAATTTACTTAATTTTTATTTTTGCCACTGAAAACAACCATGTTAAATACATTTTTATTATACTTTTTTTTTACTTGACAATATTTTTCAATTTCAAATTTTTTCAATATTTCAAAAATTTTCAATATGGCGCTTAAAAAGCCTAAGCGCAATGTGTTTACCAAATTCAGTTGAGATCGGTCGAGAAGTTTTTGAGATACACATATATGTATGTATGATATAAGTGGGCGGTTCCACCCTCATATTCCTAAAATTTCTTGAAAAACCACTTTTTTGCTAAAGAACAATCGGTATATATCAATTATGAATAAATATTGGTGAATTCCTTAGCCACACACAGCTAATAAAATCTGAATTTCCAGTACATACACACATATAAATTCAAGGCCGTATTTAAGAAAAGTCGCCTAACTTCGACAATTTTTAAGCGATTGCAATAAATGAGCTATCAGTTTATTTGAAAACGGATTTAATTTTAGATAGTACTCCATATTTTGAAATTGTAGCAATTATCGATGGTCAAAATTTAGAAAATTAAGAGAAAAAGGGTATCTTTTTAATTTACCCTATAAAACATCCTAACAAGCCTAGTATATATATATATATATATATTTTTATATACCTCTTCTCAGATCATATTCGATCTTTGAAATCGAATCAAAAATAGCCATTCAAAAACGCATAAATCTACAAAATCCTATATTCTGACCTAAATCGACAGGTCGACACCTCTAAATGACCTTTAAAGAATCTACAAAAATAGGCAATAATATTTCTCATAAAAAATAAATAATAATACATGAATAATATTAGCCATGTGAAAAATAATAGGGACACGACAATTTTTACCAGTTTGGTTTAATAATTATTTTTTTTTTTTATAAAAATGCAGCTCATTATTTAACAAAATCCTTAAAGGTGCAAATTTCAAACTTTATAGAAAAATTCAACAACTTTTTACAACAGCAATAAAATAAAATTTTAATTTAATGAAGTGCAAGATTCATGTGGCGTTAATTTTTCATAATTTTTTTTTAGATTTTCTTGCATTTTTTATGTTTTCATATTGATAAATCTGAGTTAAAGTTACCTCTGTAGTGGTACATAGTGGCTTCTTCAATCGAAAGTCAGATTGCTTTTTTTCGGAATAAAATTTGAAGCTTGATTTTTAAAAGAGGGCTATTTAAGGAATATTTTATTTCTACCCAAAAATGTCGCTTTTTGATTGCCCCTTTCTCTTTTCGTGTTCCGATTCTAAATTAAAGGCAAAGGGTGAGAAAATTTTGTGTTCGTTTCTTAAAATGTCACACTCTTGTAAGGCAAAAGCAAGAAAAAGGCACATTCTCTGTCCTGTGAAGCTTTGTCAAGGGAGATGGTTGCGCTGAAAATCAGATGGTTGTTTAAAATGACAATATTATGAAATGCGTGAACTAGACAAGGGTAAGAAGGCAAAAACATGTCCTTTCACAGGGTTGAGTGTAATATCAAACACATTCTGCACTGGGGGAAGGCAATTTTTTTTGGAAGAAACGAAATCACCATTAGTGTCTTTGAAATATTTATTTCATATCGACCTTGCCGTGAAAGTTCTTCGATCAAAAAGGATGATTTTTTTTTTTTCATATAATATTATACAAGGCGTCTAAAATTCTTGTTAGTCCTTGATAACGGATATATCAGAGTCCTCAAAGTCAATCAGCACAAACAAACGTATGTTTATATATTCGCAACTTCAAAAAATCGCTGCGTCTGCCTCAGAGGTTTAGAAAGAAAAAATTTTAATTAAAAAATTTTTTTTTCGGATTAGTAGTTAAGCAGCTATTCACTGATCTAATATTTTCTCCAAAATTTCCAAAAACAATTATATTTCGGTATAAACATGAAGATGAAGAAACTCTTTAAAAAAATTTCTGAGTGCTCAGAATTTATGAGTCTAAAATTAGTGTTTCGTTCTTCTGAGACCACTCAATCAGACTGACTCACTCGGTCTCTTTTGATATCATAAATTCCTAGTTGAACAAAAGTAACAAAGTTCACGTAGAAGTAAAAGTTTTTTTTTATAATCAATATTTGCTTAGACGACACAAATATGACTCCTAACTTGGAAATATGCTCTTTTATGACACTTTTTTGAGCTCACAATAAGGGTTTCCACTCAGAATTCTGAGACTTTTTTCGCTCTAAAATGAGTCAGAATACCCTTAGCACTTAAGTAGAAATACCTACAAACGTTTTTCATACCAATTTGAGATTTAAAATTTTTGTAAAAGTTTGAACGTTTAATGAAATCATAACTTAGTATGGAGGTTTTGAACTATTTTGAACAGTAAATTTTAGCTTGGCACCACTGTGGTGCAGCCGAGAATTATAACATTAGGCGTTATTAGGTAATATTAGGATTATTAAATTTAATTTTATCAAAGTTGAACTATATGTATTAAAAAAAAAAATTTTAAATAGGAGGTGTGAATTTCTGTGTTAAATTTCAATTGCCAACATTTAAAAATCCGCTCTAAAACGAAATCTCATAAACAAAATTTTTGAGGAGTAAAGTTCTAAGCATATCATTATTTAAATAAAGCACTTGTCAAAGTCACAGAGTAACGCAGTGGTCAGGTAGTCAACCAGCCGCGTTCCGTGTGAGCCAATTGGACAAAGGAATTTTCAATTCGCAGCAACACAATTCCACATAAATCACACGCTCTCACCTCAACTTGTCGTAATCAAGTAAAACAACATTAATACAACTACAAATATGTACTAGCAAATACCAAATACGTGAGACGGGGAAAAATAAAAAATCAACCAAATAAAAATAAAATAACTAACTGAACTGAACTGAAAACTGAAGAGTATAGCCGAACACAGAATGAAAAGTCAAAACAATTTGCATGCAGAATGGCGCTTCCCATTGGATTTGCTGTGCTGCATAAAGATGAGTGAACAACAAGTAACAACAAACAACAAAAACAACTGGCGCTTTAGCAGCAGCATATCAAACCAAAGCACAGCCAGTGGTGGCAACTGCAACGGCAACGGCAACGGCAGCGGCAGCAGAAGTGTGGCAAGTGGGCTGATGAAGGCACGAATATAAATTTAAACATTAATGTGTACGTATGTACACATACGAAATGTACTCTTGTGTACGAGTTGTTGTACTAAATGCCATGTATGGAATCGTACAGGTTGCTGCTGCTGCAACATGCAGTTAAGCCTTTACTATTTTCCATTGTTTTTGTTATTGCATTTGTTTCTGTTTTAGTATTTATACAATTTGTGTTACATACATACATACATATGTACATATATGTATGTTTATGTTGGCTCTATGCGAGCCGCTTGTGCCGTTTGTATTATTTTTAAGCGCTGATCGATTAAGACCTGACCTGTTTACGTACCTGTAGGTCTAACGGATGTTGATTACTTTTATGGCCGCCGCAACGTAATGAACTATTTTTATTTACTACATATTCACTGTTGATTATTTTTGTTCTTTTTTTTTATTACTCGCGTATTTTTATTTATGCACTGCTATGGAGAAATGTGAATAGCTGCATACATATATGGCTTTACAGAATTGTGTGTAAGAGCTGAAAAAAGGGTGTAGTTGTTTTGTTGTTTACATACTTATGCAGGGCAGGTTATTAAAAGATGCTCACTTGATTGGGGTCAATGAGAATTAGGCCTGCTGGGCATTGATATTTACTTTGCATTCTCTTTACTTAACATCAGATAATATCATTTGTGAAAAATGGCTTATATTTTGGAGAGTATATTTTTTAATAGAAAGATGTTTGTTTGGAGTTTTACCCCTAATAGATACATATGTAGATTGCTTAGACTGTACCACTTTAGAAAAAAAGGTCGCCCTGATTCTAAAGCCTTTTTTAAATTTCTAACAAAAAATTTAAGTAACTAACAAAAGTTAAATGATTTTTGGTGAGCTTTAATTTACTGACATTACAAAAAAAAATGTTTCTTCTCGAGA